AAGTTTTACTGCTCCCCCAGAGAATTTCACTGATCTGGTTCTTCTCCAAGCTCAGTGAGAGAAGAGTCCAAATTCATGTGGTTGGCCACCGATTATATATCCAACATGGGGTTCCCCATATTTGGCACCACACTAATCATTTTTCTATATTATAAAGCTATGCCCTAGCATTGTCTACAGTGCATACCCAACTTTCTTATTACATAAGCAGTATATAAGCATTACCTATAGCACATACTCAATAATGGTCTCCACTTCTTATGTCAAAACTCAGGTCATATCAGAGCATAGCCTATTTTGTACAAGTGTCCTACAGGTCAACTTTTTCAGAAGTGGAAGATTTAAATAAGGCTCCTAAATTAATATTTAGTCCCCTATTTCAGAGGCACTTAAGCTACCAGAAATTCCTATTGAGAGAAATAAAAGCTGACAGTAGCTCAGCATTGTTAAAAATGAGGCTACTGATTACAACCTAAACCCAGGCTACTGATTAGGTATCTAAATCTAAACTTAGAAGCATAATTTAGGAGCCTAAAAACAACTTAATAAAAGTGTGCAAGTAAACAAGAAGAGTTAACAAAAAATAGGACTGGTGCGCCTTAAAGGGAAAAGAAACATTTGTATGCAAACATATGCACAGTTCTATATTACTGTGCATCTCAAGACATTGTGTGAGAACATCTGCCATAAACTGCCAAAAGGTGGACAAGGTGGAGTTCTCTCACATGCAGGAAAAACACTAAGGAGATAATAGAAGTTTGGGTACTTACCTTATACAAAATAGATTTATTAAGAATTGACGGTAGATTCTTGGTTAGATGTTGACTATAACCAAAAATACCTGCAAATACCCATATAAGGGAATGGAGGCCACTTTTTCCAAGTCTTCTAGGTTTTAGTAAATCTAAAATAAGCTATTTGACTTGAATTGAATTAGTTTTCATGCGACTTTACACTACCAAGCTGTGGAAGTGAAGAATGCATTTAGAAACCTACTTACACAGATTTCACATGGAAAATTACGGTGTTGCTATCAAAGGAATGAAAACTGGGTGGATTTTAAGGGCTTCATTTTGCTCCAATAAACAACCTAGTGCCCTTTTCATGTCATGTTTTTGGAGAAGGATACACATCTGAAAAATGTGTTGGAAGAATGATTATTGATTTAAGGTGGAATTCTGTAAGCACCCAGAGTTGAGCATGTACTCATAGTACCTTCTCCATGAGTGTAGATTGGTCAGTCACAAGAAGTTGAAGCCTGAGATCTTAAAAGCAATAGTCTAGAAAAAAAAAATTACCTTCCCTAAATGGAATCTGAGATCATTAATACTGAATAGATTTCATCAGACTCCAAGAAAGCCCATTGTTATATTATTGACCCACCCCAAAAAACAAATGCACCCTCCAACCCTGAAGGGCATCTGAAATAGGATTTAACACAAACATCTTAAAACCTGATACCCAAAAATGAATTAAAGAATCTAAATTGAGTACTTCAGAAAAAATCACAATGTTTAAAGGGCTAAGAGTCAACAAGTCCTACTAAAGTTATTTAAGTGAATACTTTTTTAATATAAAAACAGCCAGACTCAATACATATATGTGGGTTTAGTGCTTATTTGAGGTACTAGAATCAAACTGCTGAAGAGTCATAGATCCTTTTGCATTTGTACATGTGCAAGCAATGCCATATGAAAGCTGGGGGTGTGGGGGGGGGAGGGGCAGGGCTGCAAGGGTTTCAAGATATTCCACTACTAGTCAGCACTTCTGGAAAAAGAGGATGAAGGGACAGTAACTTTTTTCAGAAGACTAATATTTCTCTGGGGTCTTCCATTCTAGATCACAGTGGATCTGTTCTATTTACTGTGACACCATTTTGAGAGTAAGGCTACTTGGCTTTGGTTATTTGAATTATATTTTTATTCTCTTCTTCTTTCTGAAATTGATGCAAGGAATATCTGTAGGAGATGGCCCATTGCTACAGTGATTCCTTTCCCGTTTCCTCTACTCTCCCTGAAGCCTTTCCCATGTTATTTAAAATTATTTTAGCAAGACAGATGTCCTAGATCAGGCTCACCTCTTGACATATCCAAGGTCTCTAAAGATTAAGTGAATGTGCATACATTTTCTTGGAGTGAGCAGGTGGCTTGAGAACAGAGACCACATACGGGTGTTACGTTTCTATTACTGCTTTCTTGGTAGAAAATACCAGTGTATAGATGTTTGTTCAGTTCCCCCCAGAGGAAAAATGACTTCTGGTAGGCAGGTCTTCCAAGCTGACACCTGGAAAGATCTCCCCTACAACAGAGTTTCTCTTACTAGAATGAATGCCTGCATGCTGGCCTCCTGCATGAAGCAGTTGAGCAGCAACTTACCCTGTGCCTTCCGGCAGGACTCTAGTCTGAGTAAAGTGGAAGACACATTTTCCTGCAGCTTGACTCCTCTTGGTCATGGAGAAGTTGAGCTGCTGTTGCACCTTGAGCTTTCCTGAGAGTGGGGGATTAGTCTGGGGAAAGACTCAGAGCAGTGGCACCCTGGAAGCTAGGAAGGAAGGAGAGGAGCAGCCAGGCAATGCTCCCAACCTGTCCCCCCAAACTAGGGCACCCAGGTCTGTGAACGTGTGGGAAGCCTTTCCCCACTACTCCACCTGGGGACTAGCATGATGGGAGTAGCAACTAATCCCCTCAACTCCCCCAGCCCAGCATCACCCCAGCCTGGGGAAGGCATGGGAAGCAGGGAAAGGAAGTGGCTGAAGAACAGAATACCTGTATGCTCCTTTTCCTAGAAAGATTTGTAGTGCTGGCATTTTCAAAGAAATGAATGCCTGTTCATATAATTACAGGGGTGTAGGTTGTAGCCGTGTTGGTCTAAGAACATAGGCAGACAAGGTTCTTTGGGTGAATCATTTAAGTTGGTCTAATAAAATATATCAGATTCACCCAAAGAACCTTGTCTGCCTATGTTCATAATTAGGCATTTGAAAACCCAGACCTACACTGTCTTTAGTTTGCCATCAGCCCAGAAGGACCAGGGTTATCTACTTTCTAGAGGCTATATGAGAGTTCATAGATATAGCTCTCAAGAGCTCTGGAGCAGAGCTGGGTAGAAGATTTACCACACAATATCATAAAAACTTCCAAAATCTCAGTTTTTAAAAGTTTCCTTTCCCATACAGGGACAATACAGGCCTTCTGAAAGTTTTCCTTAGACAGAAGAGAGCAAAAGATCCACTCTCAGAATAGTGCAATGGCCATTTACAGGAGACCAAGATTCAAATCTTGATGTAGAATTTCAGATAATAGCAAAATTGGTGAATAGACTGCCCACATTTCACCCTCATCATCCACAAAACATTTATTTTTTCAGATTCAAACATGTTTTCCCATTAAATAATGATATGAATATCAAGGTATTGAAAATGAAGCATGTCAAGCCAATAAAAATAACTTCCATGAAAACAAGAGTTTGAGCAAGCATAAACCACCAAAAGACATTTTATTGCAATAATGTCCCCCATCATGAGCAGTAAATGCCAAAAGATTTATTTTTTCTATTTTGCATTTCTACCTTTTTATTTATGTAAATATAAATTTAAGAGTGTAAAATAAATCCACATATAAACACAAAAGAAACATTCTTTCAGTGACTCAAAAAAATTACATACTGAATAATCATGACAAATCATCCATTGTCCATTTTCCAAGTATACAATAAAAGTGTGGAAAAAAGCAGAAAGTCATTCGTCAAAAGCATCTTATATAAAGTTCTTAAAGAAAAGTTAGTAACATTGAACTTTTGAAATTATAGATGCAGATTCTGAGAAAGGGAAAAGATAACATGTAACATCTCCAACTGCAGATGACTAAAATTTCAATTCCATCTAAAAAAAATATTTAAGAAAATTACACTCAGTTTCCCATAGCTGAACCATCACAATTACTCCATTAGTATCACTGTATTGGAAAACAAACTGTTTTTTACCAAACTCTCCTACTGTGAAAATAAGGTCAGAATACCTTTTTCCAATAGCAATTCTACTTATTCATATTGTAAATATACTGTGGGGAAAAAACTCCACATGCTGGTACAACAGACCTCCCACGAAGTTGCTTTTTCAACATGACTAAGACATACTTTTTAAAAAGGCAATGATAGCATGAAATGCACTGTCAAAAAAAATTGGTGTTCAAAATGTAATGGGACAATATTATCAGGTCTAATAAAATATCTATCATTTAAAAATGAATATTGGAAAACATTAGTGTTAGGCCACATTATACTGGCTAGTTATAAATGTCCGTCTATGAAAATAGTAACTGCAGTGGTACTATCCTGAATGATTTTTCTATTATTGTTCAATATTGAATTGATGTAATAAATAATATTACCACAACTGTAAGTATATGTCATTGGAATTTTCTCAAGAGGAATGTTTTCCATTGGTTCTAACAGACAGAAGTTTCCAATTACAGCGGCTTTTACTGCATATCATGCTAAGTTCTTAAACTGCATTTTCCCTTATGGTTATGCTACAAAAGAAACTTGAAATATTAAGTGGGTGAAAACAAACAAAGCACTCCATCAACCCAAGATGAAAACTGCAAGTAACTTTACCAGAAAGGGAAGGAGAAAAGGGAAGGGAAGTATTTAGACGAGCACACTCTGGGTCCCAAAGTTTACACTGCTACTCAATTTCCAAAAGATACATATGATTCTGTGAATATTTTTGCGCTAAAAAGTAGCTGTGTTCAAAAACAAATATTGGCTAGCACAATCCTGCATTTTCAGAGATAAATATTTAGATGAAGTACAAAATCCACTTACTAAAGTGCATCTGCTGAACAAATTCTAAATCTACTATTACGACTATCAAAGTAAGCAATACAAGCTAAACTTTATTCATATTCTACCTCTAGTAGTAAATATAGATAATTGAAATCTAAATTACAATCTTCTTTATTACCAAATATTGTGCATCTATGTTGTGAGCTTTAGAAAAACTAAATATGTTCTTAAAACTCTTGGAAACTTGGAAATGTTTCTTTAAGTACTGAAAATGTAGTATGAAGTTAAACAGACAGGTTGTAGTAAGGGTAGTACAGAGTTATATTCCACATGACATTCCCTTAAGGCTCTGGAGGAAGATATCATTTTTTTTCAAGAGCTTTTGGCAAAAAGATATAAATTCAAAAGTAGAAAGGGCATCTGTAATTTTAGAACTTGCATTTTCCCCATTTTATTAAAGCCAGCTCATTCAATGTCTGTATACAGTTATTATTGCACTTGTGTATTCCTTGGAATACATCTATACCAACACAGTAATAGTGATTGCAACAAAGCCATGACAAAAATAAACTTTTAAGAGTTTATTTTTAAAGATTTCAATATTAAATGAGAAATGTCTGCATGTTTAAAATGTTCCCTAAGAATGAATGCAGACACAACTACTTATCAAGTCAGATGTATTTGTTTAACAATTATTTAGCACATATAAAATTTCACTTACCCTTTATCAATACAAATCTGTTAGGGATCAAAAAAGATTTACCATGCAAAATATTGATTAGTGCTGCATAATGCTTTGGAATATATATTTCTATCAGAGTTAAAACAGCATTTTTCAAAATTTAAAGAAAAATAGATTTTTAAAAAGGGATTCTACTGTTGAATGCAAGACAAGAAGTTACAATTTATCACTGTACTTCTGTCTTGATGAAAGACTAATGATATTTGTCCATCTATGTTTTAATAAATGCTACATTTTTAAGAATAAACTATCAGTAGGCATCATCATTTCTATGTAAAAGGAGTTATTTCTCCCTATAGTAGGTCAAGTATGCTTTTAAAGATTCAGGTAATGGTAAACTCATAATTTTCTCTCGCAGCAGGTTTCGAGGAGGTTCCTCTGGCTTCAAGGCCTCATTGTGATCTTTATCATCATCATCATCCTTGTTATCTTCTTCCATCTTTTCATCTTCTTCACTGTCTAGAGGCTGAGGAATGAGTTGATTGCCTACAAACACGTAGGTATTAATCCTCCGCCTACGGCATCTTCTGCGTTTTCGTTTTGGTGGTGCCTTCTGAATAATACCTTTAGCTTTCATCTCCTCGTTTATGAAGTTTCTAAGGGTACGTCTAATGTAGATCCGAGCAAGGTCCTGAAGATTCCTTACAGCACAAGCGGCTAAAACGAAAGAAAACAAGTTACACCTCCTATCTCAGCAAAACTGACATTTTACATGGTAATTAGAAATATGGGGTTGATAATTAAGATAATTAACGTAGAACAACAAATGACAATTTAATACAAAAATCAAGTATGCAAATAAAATAAACAGATACAGTTGATAGCCCTAGACAAACCACACAGCATATAAATAAGAAAATGTTTTGTCCTATTTAGCATTCATGCTGAAGGTAGCTCAAAGTATTAATAAACAATACAGGCAACCCCTGCTCAGCACTCTTAATTGGTTCGTGAAAAAAATAAAAATAAAATAAAAATAGAGCGCTATGCAAAACAAGCATTAAGCAAAACCGAAAGTATTTGACGACCCAAGATAGCAGCCATAACTGTTTTCAATGAGGCAAGATGGTGACTGCAAACATTGTAACAAAACTTGCTGAGCACTAAGTGAAATCAGGTATCAATCTAAAGTAAGTGTTATAGCAAAATAGCGCTAAGTCAAACAGCGTTAAGTAGGGGTTGCCTGTAATATTAATGTTAATGATTCTACTGCTACTGCCACCACCAACTTAATTTATAATAACTTAACAACTAATTAACCGATGGGGAAAAAAAAAAAAGGCAAGAAAGCAAAGAGGTGGTTCAGCTACCATGACCTTCATGTGATGTGCCATGTTTACGTTCCTTTCTGAAGGCAGAGACTGACTTCAAGTAAAAACTAGTCATTATATTGGAAGAAAGACTTCAAAGACGGACAAGGAAGAATGTTTACATAGGAATTCCCATATATGAGTTATTACAGATACAGACTGCTGAAAAAATGGTGCAAGAGAAGCTGAAAAACAAGAAAAGACAAACAACAGAAGTGATCTACAGAAGTCTAGAGAAAACTAGAGTTCAGGAGACACACAAGCAACCACTTCCAGGATCTCTGCATGGAAACTATAGGTGAGAAAGCTTTAGAGAAAACAAATGAAAGGGATCAGAGAAGCAGTCAGCCCACAGAGCAAAAGGTAGAGGTCGCACACCACTTAAGATGGAGTCATGTTCATTACACCAAAAACAAGGAAGAGGAGGCAGAGACCAACACATCATGGACACAAATAGGCAGGCTCATAAGGTGGTGTCAACAAGATGGCTTTGGATTCTTCAAAAAATTGATGTTCCAAGAAAGAAGGGTTTAAATAAGATCTATGGGGGTCGGCAAAGAAAGCTACACTGTGGCTGGTGGGTTGAAGGACTAGAAGAGGATAAATCCTTAAGACTAGGAACCCACAAAAGACAATAAAAGCAAGAGGAAATCTAGGTGGCAGGCTGCAAATGAATTATGCACATTCATTTCTTGGATCTACAGATCAGATAGATAGATCTCCATTCCCTGCATCCATCTAGATGCAAGGAATATTGGGAACAAACCAAGTGAACTGGAGGTCATAGTAATTTAAGACTTGACTGGCATTATAAACTTTATGGAATAACTCCCATGACTTGGTTCAGCCGTGAGCAGTATGCCTTGCTTTGGAAGAATAAGTTAGAGAAAGAAAGAAGGCAGTAATACCACGTGTCAGAAATAAGCTTACTCCCAGATCCAAGATGAAAGAATCTAATCTATTGCATACAAGTGGGTGAATGTAGACTGGAAAAAATAATAGTAAAATTGGGGTGGGGACAGGGTTTTAAATTAGACAACTAAATGAGGAACAAAAAGTGTATGAGGCATTGTTCAAGCAAGTAACAAAAATACCTAAATTTAAGAGACAGAACTGATGGGGGTGAAGGAGGAAGATTTCAATTTCCTCAATACCTGTTGGAAGAAAACTGTAGCAAAAAAATGTAAAGTATCCAAGTTCTTATATTATAGAGGATAAATGTTTATTTCAGAAAATTCAGGATGTAAGTAAGGGTCATCTGTTTTGAATCTTGTTCTGACCAAGTAAGAAGAACTGGCTGACAATATGAAGGCTATTGGAACCTCATTAGGAAGTAATCACAATATGCCACAATTCATGATTCTAAGAAAAAGGCAGCATGGGAATAGCAAACAAGGACAGAGGACTTCAAAAGGGCAGACTTCAACTGATAAAAAGAAACAGGTAAGGTCCCAGGAACAGCCAAATTAAAAGATAAAAGAACCCAGAGGAGATAACAGTTCACAAAAAGCATAGCATTAACTGTTCAACAACAAGCTGCTCCAACACAGCGGAAAGATGAGAACAAGCACAGGACACCTCTGTGGGTCTAGAAGTTGATTCCTGTCAAACAAAAACATCAAAATTGTTTATCAGTATGCCAGACAGAAAAGAAAAAGACAGAGCAGTGAAATGGTGGGTCCACTGCTCAGTGGGAAAGGCAAGCTATTAATAAGAGATGCAGAGAAGACAGAGCTCCTCAACGACTATTTTTCCCCTCAATCTTCATCAAAAGAAGAAAAATAACACCAGATAATAAAACGTACATAAACAGGGCAGAGAAAGGGCTATAAATCACGCTAAAGAGCAGAGAGATTTTGTCAAATTTCAAATAAGTTGGCATGACCTGACCAAATTCATTCCAGACTTCTGAAATGAATCACCTCAAGAAATCTTGGAGTCAGGGGCCACATCATGAACAATAAACAAGGTTCCAGAGAACTGGAGAAAAGTTGGAAAACACACATCCTTAAAAAGGGTGAAAAGAAGACCTGAGGAATTAGAGACCAGACACCCTGACATCAATACCACTTATAAAACAATCTATAAACATTTGGAGAAGGAAGGGATAGTCACTAGCTGCCCACAAAGATTATTAACAATTAATACCAGAACATTGTACAGATATAAAAATTGCAATTTACCAAGTCAAACCATAGGTCCATCCTGCCCAGTATCCTGTGTCAAACAGTGGATGCTGAAAGGGAGTGAACAAGGTATGACCAGGGTTTTTTGTCCCCCCACTGCTCCTCTCTCATTTTCAGCCTCCAGCATTTACAAGTTTAAGCTCTGATTTGGAGGCTTTATCCCTAAGGGCCTTGTTGCACCTTGCAATGAGTGTTGCACAAATGTTGATCAGTGTTAGAGCTAGCTCAAGCAAGTTTGGAGCAGTCAAGTTCAGGCCAGCAGGGGCCTGAAAGACTGAAAGGTAAGAATTCCCACCTCCCATTCTGAGCCTCCCCCTTGCCTCCACCTGTCCCCAGGGCATTACTTACTTGTAGACAACCTGCTGTCTGTCCCAGGGGAGCAGGCAAGGAAGGGTTAATATTGCTGCTGCTCATCTGGCCCAGAGAGCAGCAACCCCAGCATCCAGGAAAACCCTTCCCTGATGGCTGCCCTGGGACAGAGTGCTGGCAGCCACAAGTAAGATGGTGGGAAGGGAGGCAGTAAGGAGGGAATATGAAGTACTGGTGAGCACGTGGGGATGCACTGGGGTGTTTACATTTGGGTAAAGCCTGGAGTGGCTACAGAGATCAGAGATAATCCTGCCCTGGAGTGGTGCAACTTTGAGCCACCTAACAAGTGCTTAAAACTAGTTTCAGGTGTTAATAATATATGAGGACAATCCAGGTGTTGAGAGCTCCAGGAGCTGCCCAAAATTACTATGTACCAAGGCCCTAACTCCCTTGCTACTGATGCCCCTTTCCTCCATTTATCCAATCCCTTTTTGAATCTTGCTAAACTGTCAGCTTCTGTATCTGGTGGCATTGGAGCTGCATATTTAAATTACATACTGTATGAAAAAAAAATTAGTTTAATTTTGTGACCCCTAGTCTTGTATTTTGTGAGAGTAAACAATAAATACCTATTTACTTTCTCTTTGCTATTTCATATTTTATAAACCCTTATGTCCCTCCTCAACCATCTCTTTTCTAAACTGAACAGGCCTAGCCTCTTCAGCATCTCCTGACAGGGAAGCCCCCTTCACACCGCTAATTATCCTTGTTGCCCTTTTCTGGACCTTCTCTAGTTCATCTATATCCTTTTGGAGGTATGAGGACCAGAACTGGGCTTGGTATTCAATGTGTGGATGCACCATTCTAATATTATAAAAGCCTTAGTCTGTCTGTCTGTCTGTCCATAACACTTTATTCGCACTTTGATTGGCTGACTGAAACAACCAATCAATCAGAGTGCTCCAAGAGCGGGACACAGGGGATGAAGTGAGGAGGGGGGCCAGGCCAGCACAGTGGAGAAGCAGGGGTGGGGCCAGACGTAGAGGGATGCGGAGCCACTGGGCCCTGACAAAAGCCAGCAAGGAGGGGGAGGGAGGCAGGACAGTGCCCTGCTGCCGCTGCACCCTGCCAACAGCTGGGAGGGAGGGGAGGCAGGGTTATGTCGGCCAGGGCCCAGACCCGGAGGGAAAGGGCTTGGACTCGGGAATGGGGGAGCAGGGCCAGAACCAAAGTGCAGTGTGGTGTAGGGCCGGACATGCGCTTCTGTCCCCACCTCCCCCACCCCCAGTCATTCTTAACAGGCAATTGGCTAGTATATTTCTAAAGGGGAATAGTGATACTTCCTATTTTGTTCATAATTCCCTTCTTAATAATCCCCCCCTTTTTTTTAAAAACCTTTTTGATGTCTGCTGAGCACTGAGCTGACATTTTAAGTGAAATGTTCAAAATGACTCCTAGATCTCTTTACAGTATGGCAGCAGTTAAATGTAGAGCCCTTCATAGTTGCTATCATTTGAGTTGCTTTTGCCTGGATACATCACTTGACACTTACCTACATTGAACTGTATCTACCATTTAGTTGCCCGTTTTTCAATCATGTCAGATCCTTCTGTAGTTCCTCAGAGTCTACTCACAGTCCCCCTTGGTCTTTATCATATTGAACAATTTTGTGTTATTAGTAAAATTTGGCTACCTCACTACTCACCCCCTTTTCCAAATCATTTATAAATATGTTAAACAGCACTGGTCCCAACACAGATCCATGGGCGACACTGCTGGGGAATCCCTGTCCACCCTGAAAACTGACCATTTATACTCATTCTTTGTTTGCCATCTTTGAGCTAATTTCTAATACACAAATGGATTTTCCCTGTAATCCCATGACTACCTAATTTAGTTAAGAGCCTCTGATGGGGGATTTCAAAGGCACTTGGAAGTCCAAATATACTAAGTCAACTGGACAGTCCTATCTGCTTATTGGCACTCTCAGAAGAATGCCAGTAGGTTGGTGAGGCATGACTTCCCTTTGACAAAGCCATGTTCGTTCCTCACCAGCAAGTCACATTCATCTATATGTTCTACCAAATTTTCCAGGAACAGAAATTAGGCTTGCTGGCCTATCGTTCCCTGCATCTCCTTTAGAGCCTTTTTTAAATATTGTAATCCCACTGGCAACCCTCCAGGGCTAGGGGCACACATTCAAAAAGCTGGAGCATGAACTTACTGAATCTTTGCAGGAATAACCCTGTTCCCTGAACATCGTCTAAGGGGGCCATACCAGTCAGTGTCTGGCCAAACTCTTGTCGCTGTGGCAGTGCGCCGGGGGGGAGTGCCCGGCAGACCGAGGCTTGGGTCCAGCAGAGGGGAATTCAACCCTCTCCCTAGCCAGTTCATTCCAGGACTTTGCCCAGGGCTGGCTATGCCCCTGACACGGGAGCAGCCAGCAGAGCAATGCAAGTCATGCTGGTGGGGCAGGGGAGAGAGTGGGTGAATGAACCTCTTCCCTGCTCCCTTGTAGGGCCTAGTCTGGCCAGGCCCCTACCCCTCCCTGCCCCTGCTCCAACTGGAGAGCAGAGGGGCAGGGATCAGCCCTGCTCTGCTGGAACAGAGAAGACAGCCCAGAGAGCATGCCTAGGATGCTGGGGGACTCTGGTTTAACTTAAACTAGGAAGGGGTCTGAGACAAACTGCATAAACCAGTTTAGGCTCAATCACAGTTAAGTCTGATACACTACATTCAGCCAAGTTTCTCCCAAACTGGCTTCGGCCATTTTGAAAATGGTTTATGTGCAATGAACTTATGTTCTGTTACAGGTTTAAACCAGTTTCTGACCACTTAAACTGGTTTATGTGTAATGTCTGTCCCTACCCCAGTCCTCTGGTACCACAGCTGTTTTCAGTGATAGGTTACACACTATAGTTAAGAGCTCGGTAATTTCCAATTTGCATTCCTTCAGGACCATAGGGTGAATGCCATCAGGTCCTGGTGATTTGCTATTGTTTAGTTAATCAATTTCCTCTACAATTTCATCTACTGAAACCTCAGTTTGGGTCATCTGCACAGACTTCTCCCTGGGGAGGAGTGGATCTGCTGGTGGAATTTTCATAGATTTCATAGACATCAGGGCTGGAAGGGACCTCGGAAGATCGAGTCCAGCCCCCCGCCCAAAGGTCAGGAAGTCAGCTGGGGTCATAGGATCCCAGCAAGATAAGCATCCAGTTTCATCTTGAAGGTGTTCAATGAAGGCGCTTGAATCACCTCCGGTGGCAGGCTATTCCAGACCTTGGGGGCTCGGACAGTGAAGAAATTCTTCCTTATGTCCAGCCTGAAACGATCTTGAAGTAGTTT